GTAAATGTGTCACAAGTGTACCCGTTTAGGATTTTTCGTGGTATTAACCTTGTTATAAATGCAAATGCTGATGTTATTGCCCCACACGAGTGCATTTGCTCCCCCCACAATCTCCTCCCCCAGACGATACTCTCCTCTGCACATTTTCTTCCCCTTCCCTCGTTCCAAAACCCACTGTCGGCGTCCAAGGACAAAAAAGGTAATATGGCGACGGCTCTCGAACTCCCGATCATAGACTTGTCTTCGCCGGACCGCCTCTCCTCCGCCGCTTCGATACGCCAGGTCTCTTCCTCCGCCTCAAGCGGCGGCTTCGCTGCGGACCGACTCGGTTCCCGTATTTTCCGGTTCCCGTTTGGCTTGTACTCGTCGCGGAACGGAACTTACGGTTTCGTCGTCTTCTCGGGTCTCAGTGTTTTAGCTGGTGTCCGAAACGAGCGACCGCCGGCGGTGGTTTTCGAGCTCGCCGGTGGCTGGGGACTGACGCTGTGTGATCTTTGCGTGCAATAACTTCGACAAATACTCTGGCTCATAAACTCCAATGGAAGAATTGGGATCCCTGGAAGGGTTGGATATCTCTGGACGCAAGCACATCCGATCACTGGACCTTTCAAAGTCGGAGCATCTGAAGGAGTTGAAATTCGCTGCCCTAGTAAATTTCTAGAGCACTTTGAAAGGTATGGGTGCGAGTCACTCAAGAAATTACCGGAATTTTTACCACCCGACGAGGACGAGCCATAGGTTTATGAGGGACGAAATAGCAAGAAACTGACTGAGGTTTGCAGGGGCTATAGTCGGATCTTCATGAGGAAGCAAATGAGGTTGCGGAGGACGTGGTGCGATTCTGGGCACTGGGGTAAGAAGAGGAGGAGGGTGGATATCCAGCTTGAAAGTTGGAGGCGAGGAATCTGGTGAAGGCAGTGGTTCCAGGTGATTGGACCCCTTTTAACATTAATACATTCTTGTCGCTGATTGATCGGTTTATTCATTGGTTGATTCTTGGTGTGATTGGTGCATGCGCATCCTGGTGATTCGAGGTTTTGAGTCGCCGTTGTTGGTCTGATTTTGGGTGTTCGATGTCTGCACACGGAGGAAATGAAACGAAACTAATTCGAGCTTTTCTGCATTGTTCAGCGAAGCATGTTTAGTTGTCCTGTTATATTTATCAGCTTGTGATTCCTGTTAGGTGCAGAGATCTGCTCGGTTATTCTCTTCTACCAGTTTGCTATGGCGTAATGAGATAACTACAGCAGCTTTTGATTAGGTTTCGTGTCAATGGTGGTGAATTTTCCTTACGTTATTTGAGCAGTCGTAGAGCATGTATAGCAGGATTATTAGGACTTATGAGCCTATTATAGGTTTAGGTTGATTTTATCACCCTATCTGGGTAACGTGGAAATTGACTGCAGAGTTGTCGGAACTAATGTGAACTAACCTCAGGTTGAACGGGAAGATTACCTTGATTGATGAGGTTCTACTTTCATAGCCATTTCTTTCATGTTCTCGGATCTTGATGCACCGTGAGGTGTGTTTGGAAGAACAATCTCCTGTGAACCATTTGTTTGTACCTATGATCCAAACTAGCATTTTCTCCATGAGTATGTGGAAATTCCTTCTCATAAGATTCTCCAAGGATGTCCTCACTCATCCCATTTAGCTAATAACGTAGTGAAATAGTGTCGAAGGCTACTAATTTAGCATGGAAAAGGACGCTATTGTCCAAATTGTTGTGATGGTAATATGGCTTGTTCATTTTTTCCGTACTTTTTCTTTGCTAGTTTTCTAGTTGAAAGGGATTGCTCCTTATCTCCTTCTGACTGTGGGAAAATGCAAAAGCTTGGGCTGCGATATTAGAAGCCCATTGGTTTCTTCTTTCACCAGGAGTTATCGGGCTCTGACATTGTGGGGTGTTTGGAAGAACTTTTGCTTCTAACTTTCATCTATACTATTGTTTTTAGCATTTGCAACGCGTCTTTTGTTCAATACTCAGTGCTTCAAACCTTCAGAAAACATAAAACTTTGCATTTTATGGCCAATCATAGCAAAATAATTCTTGTCTTGCTGACAAGGTCAGGAAGTACCTTTTGATTTCTAATGTTGAAATAGAAACACCATTAAATTTGTTTCTATTTCCATGGTTGGTTTTCATTCTCTCATCCTCTGTATGGATCCTCTATAATGTGATGGTCTTGCTTTTTGAAGGTTACATTATGCTAGTCGACTGTTGCCCGCACCGATGCGAAATTCGAGTACAGAGTTGACTGAATCTGACAGTAAGTGGCTTTTCTTTTAAGTTACTTGAAGATTTCAGTTCACAAAAAGGTGTTGAAGAATGACGTTGAGTCGTGCTTGAGAAATATCTGGTCGTTGGCCGCTTCAACTATGAATTTGCGGATTGCATCTCTAGCTGGAATGGGTTATGTTTGATGCAGGGGTGGAGACTGCTTTGGTCAACTTATTGTCTGTTCCTTAGGCTTTTCAACGCTTTTCTTTTCTCATGTTGGGCAAGAAGGTTGGTCCACGATTAAGCCGTGCCCTCGATCGCTGGTGCTGCATTGTTCTGTCATGGAGTCTGTCCCCGATTCGCCTGCAAAAACTCCATCTGTGCTGTTTGGGAAGCTTGATTGTGGAATGGTAAGGAAGAAAGATCAATCTTCGTGGAGGCTTTAGATGTTGCCACCATAAAATAAGCGACATTTGTTTTGTTCAATTTGATTGTTGCACATAATTATGTGTCATTGTTCAAATCCCCTTTTGTTGAACGAGTGTACTCTATCTTTACATTAATACATAAAAGGTTGTTTCAGGTGTTCATCCGCAAGTTTAAAAGTTGAAGCACGCCGGTTGGTAGATGAGTTACTGATATTGGTGTCAATTTTTATCCATAGTAGTTTGGTGCAGTATGTTGTAATTGACTTATTGTTATGAAGTTACTGTAATACTTGGGATTTGACCAAGTAAAAAAAAAAAATTCTGGGGCCCGTAAAAAAAAAAAACAAAGAGAAGGTTGAAAAGTCAACTAAACAAGGGAAGTAGACGTGGGCTTAAGGGGAGAAAAAAGAGACGCTTGGCTCCATCTTAAACTGTGAGCTCATGTAGAAAGAAAATGGAGAGAAGAGAGAAAGAAAAAGATCTGATTCTGGAGATCGCTAATGTTTCCTATTAAACAAAAGATATAGCAGGTATAGTGCCGTTTTCTGTGGAGATTACCTGCTCTCATAGTATTTTCTGTTTGGACGGAGCTTTTCTTTGACACGTTATAATTTTCCTGTCTTAATTCCAGCAACTGGAGGAAGTTGTTTGAGCAAAGTAATTGTAATGCTTGAGTTTTATCTGGCTCGTGATCATGATATGAATAAAAAAGATTAGATTGCCTCCAAAATGATATTTGATGTCAGTCAAATAGTACGAGATTCTTCATTCTTGACATGGTATCAATCTGCCCTTGTTTAGATAAAGTAATACTTCTCTCCAACTTCTATGAAGTAGAGAAATTCACTATCCATTGGATTCTGGAAACTGCTCATGCATATTTGATCTTGATTGCATTTTATTAACTCGTTATTTGGTCATGGCAGTAGGCGGTGAAGGTACCAAAAAATGTGTTCTGCATTTTCACAAAGCCGGGGTACTAATGTCAAGATGATGAATCTCCATGGATCTGTATCAAACTTCGTTTGTAGCTTAATATGCCAATGTGAAGATTGCTGTCTCTGAAGGCAGATACATGGCCTTGATCAGGCTGAAATTATTATCATCAACAGTCGAAACCCGGTACCAATCATGAAGCCACTCTTTCCTTGTTTTTCTTCATGCCTTTAATTATCATCTTGCAAATTCATACCTTAACATCATGCACAATTTCTTACTTCAGTATGGTCATTGTTTGGTGATGACAATGTCTACACCCCAGATGCTTAAAAAGAACAAAGGATTTCCACTATATTGTGGATAACAGTGTGAGATCCAAACCAGAAGTATGGAAGAAGTCTTAAATCAACCGTATTGCTTTCATGTTTTTGGGATAAACATGAGAAGTAATCGATGGGTGGCTAGAAAGGTGATTTGCTTAAGTCCTTTAATATTTGAGAGCTGATCTTGATCTCTTATTGCCATCTTTTCTTGAACTCGAACTCAAATCAGAATGTTTTGTTACAGCTGCCACTGAACAGAATTGGAAAGCCACTCCTGCAATAACTGTGGTTTCAACCAGAAATGTGGACCATTTTTTGCTAACCTAATGGCAGGGACTAAAAATCTTCGAAGCTCGGATATTACCCAGCTGTTAATGGCACCGAAATGAAGTGGGAGGAGCTGTGCATATGATTTTTAATTCTGTGGAGAGCTTAATTGGTACTACATCAGAAGCGAGGACTTCCAACTATGACTGTAATCTTGACATTGGAATACCTCATTGGCAATATTAGGAGTGCAAATTGACTTGGAAGATACTAGTCATGTTCTTTTATTATCATTTTCACAACAGTTTGATGCATGTCTCTAAATCCTGATGAGAGAAATCATGCTCTTTCATTATCATTCACGCAAAGAGAATACCCGAATGATGGCAAACACATATGCCCCATGTAGAATTATGAAGAATATTTGCACGACAGCAGCACGACAGAGATCGGGTTCTGGAGGTCATCCGTGTTTCCTAGTAATTGTAAATATAGTAGGTAAAGTATCATATTCAGTTAAGAGTGCCTACTTCACATTAGTAATTTCAGTTTGGCATGGGGTTGTGTCGATGTCTTATTTTTTTGTCTTATTTCAAGTAATCTTGGGGAAATTGGTCGACTAAGTGAATGCAATGCTTCAGCATCATCTGGCTTGTGATCCTGGTGGGAATGAAAATAGATAAGAATGCCTTCGAAGTACATTGCATGTCATCATACGTCATCAGTCACAAAGAAAGACTCTTCATTCTTGACATGACATGAATATGTTCTTACTCAAACAAAGAGTATTACCTTTTTCCAAGTTCTATTAAGGTTTGTTTCCTAGAACAGACGATGTTTATTATGTGTTTTTTTTTTCATTCATTCATACATAATAAAAAAGAACTTCATTACTTGTTATCAAAAGTTCCCCCCAAAAGCTTAAAGTATTAGTCTGAGGTAGACTCAATGTATATAACCCCTGTTGAAACCCTTTATTTAACCAATGCGGAATAACACTTCTAATAATTGATTGATCATGGCAACTACTCATGTCTAAGTGGTTTTGATTGCATTTTTAGTAGCTTTTGTCCACTTATTCTGTCATGGATTAATAAGCCACTGGAGGCACCATCATAACATTTTTACTTTTCTCAAATCCAGGACACCGATGTTGAGATGATGAATTTCCATGGATCTATATGCAACTTTGTTTGTCATTTGAGATGTTAATACATAGATTGCACAATCTGATGATGGATTCATGGCCTTGATCCTGTCATAAGTAACATCCTCTACGGTGGAAAATCTGGTAGGAATCATGTTGTGCTCTTTCTTGTTTTTCGTCATGCCTATATCCATTTCACATGTTTGTACCATCAATTAGTGTCTTCACGTATCGAATTTGCATCCATCTGTTCGTTCTTCATTTGGTGATGACAATTTCTCATGCCCCTGATGCTTCAAATGACCAGGAGCTTCACTGGAATTTAGGCAGTTGTGGGATATTCCAACCAAATATCTGGGATATGGATGCGACAGGGACGTTCTTTAAACCGATTGCATTGTGTCGTGCTTTATGAATGGGAGCTGTCCATCACAGTACGAGATTCTTCATTCTCGACGTGGTAGCATTCTGCGCTTGTGTGAATAAAGTAATACTTCTCTTTATCTTCTATGAAGTAGAGAAATTCACTATCTGATGGATTCTGGAAACTGCTCATGCGTATGTGATCTTGATTGCATTTTATTAATTCGTTATTTGGTCATGGAAGTAGGCAGTGAAGGTACCATAAACGTGTTCGGCATTTTCTCAAAGCTAGGGCACTAATGTCAAGATGATGAATCTCCATGGATTAGTATCAAACTTTGCTTGTCACTTAATATGCCAATGTGAAGATTGTTCTCTCTGAAGGCGGATATATGGCCTTGATCAGGCTGAAAGTATTATCATCAACAGTGGAAACCTGGTACAAAATCATGTAGTCACTCTTTCCTTGTATTACTTCATGCCTTTATTAATCATCTTGCAAATTCTTACCCTTACATCATTCGCAATTCCTTACTTCAGTTCGGTCATTGTTTGATGATGACAACGTCTACGCCCCAGAGGCTTTAAACAAACAGAGGATTTTCACTGTATTGTGGATAACGATGTGAGATCCAAACCAGAAGTATGGAGGATGTCCTTAAATCAACGGTGTTGCTTTCATGTTTTTTTGGATAAACATGACAAGTAATCAATGGGTGGCTAGAAAGGTGATTTGCTTAAGTCCTACAATATTTGAGAGCTGATCTAAATCTGTTAATGCCATCTTTTTTTGAATGACGGCTCAAATCAGAATGTTCTGTTACAGCTGCTGCGGAACAGAATTGGAGATTCACTTCTGCAATAAGCAGTTGTGGTGCCATTTTTGGCTAGGCCGATGGCAAGAACAAAAATTCTTCAGGACTTGGGTATCACCCAGCTGTTTATGGCACTGAAATGAAGTGGGAGGAGCTATGCATATGATTTTTACTTTTGTGGAGAGCTTAATTTATACTGCATCAGAAGCAAGGACTTCCAACTACAACTGTAATGTAGACATAGGAATAGTACATTGGCAATATTAGGAGTGCAAATTGACTTGGAAGATACTAGTCATGTTCTTTTATTGTCATTTACACGAAGAATACCATAATGATGGAAAACACATATGCCTTATGTAGAAGTATGAAGAATATTTGCATGATGGCAGCCCGACAGAGATCAGATTCAGGAGATCATCCGCGTTTCCTAGTAAATGTAAATATAGCAGGTAAAGTATCATATTCAGTAGAGAGTACCTACTTCACATTAGTAAATTCAGGTTGGCATGGGGTTGTGTTTTCTGTCTCATTTCAAGGAATCTCGGGGAAATTAGTCGACTAAGTGAATGCAATGGTTCAACATCTCTGGCTTGTGATGCTGGTGGGAATGAAAATAGACTAGAATGCCTTCGAAGTAGATGGCATGTCATTATATGTCAATTGAAGACTCTTCATCCTTGAGATGATATGAATATGTTCTTATGCCAACAGAGTATTACCTTTTCCCATTTCCTATTAAGGTTGGTTACCTAGAGCACAGGATGTTTTTTTATGTGTTTCTTTCATTCATTCGTGCATAACAAAAAGAAAAAACAATTTTGTGGAGAAACAAATGGAACCGAAGTGTTTCGAGATTTGTTATGAGCAGATGAAATTCATGGAGAAAATAGGAATAATTTTTTTTCTCCTCATTCCATTGTTTGTTAATGTGCCGAGAGTAATGCCACGCTTATCATCCTATGTGAAATTACCAATATTTATTCAATTATTAACACCATTGTAATCGTTCCATTAAACTACCGATATTTATTTCTGCAAACTTTGGTGTAAATGAATAAATAATCTCAATGAAATCATTTCTAGGTTTAGCAAATCATTTCAACGACAATCAAACAATTTTCAGTTATTATCGTGATATTATCTATTCCTTCCCTTGAGTATTATCCCCACTGGTATACCACCGATGTGAAGAATAGATTGTTTTATCTTCCAAAGGGTTTCATGCAGGCAACTAAACGGATCTCAAGAGCCAACTAAAGTCAAATTAAACGAAAAAAAATAGTCAAATGAACCAAGCAATTCAGCATTCAAACCAAAGGGGGTTTGATGTACGGCGTTCCGTTTTGTAGAAAACGGGGAAGTTTTCCATGCGGACAAATTATAAATATCTTGCCGAACATCGCTCGGGCCTATTTCATCTATTTATATGAATTTTACTCCTAAATTTTAATAATATTTCGTGTTTTATAAAATTCAATATGATTATCGCAAAATTTACAGAAGCGCAAAAATTTAAAACTGGAAATCACCCTTTTCTTCCCTCGCTTCTTCACATGCATGGTACAATAAATTTTAAGATCAACTTACTCTTAAATTATCTATGCTGCCATCGCTCACTTCCCTCTCCCTCCCCCATTTCTCTCACCCTTTGGTTTGTATCTTCTTCTTTTTCATTCTTTTTTCTAGATTTTGCTGATGTGGCTTCTGACAGCCCAATCCAACATGACCAAGTTAATTGGAGGAATTAAATTGATCCGATAATTAACCAAAATTAAAGTTCTACGATCAAATTGAACTTTCATCAAGAGTATGGGGACAAATTGTTTTTTAGGTCGAAAATGCCATCCATTTTATTTAAACTCGAGAGTTTTTAAGCAAAAAGCCCGATGAAGGGGCATCCAAATGTAAAAGATTCTAAAAAGGTTGAGGGGACCAATTTTGAAAATGCCCCTTTTTTGTACTCCATATGCAATTATGCATCCATTATTTTTAAGAATGTGTTTGAACACTTGTATTTTTCTCTTGTTTTTCACCTAACTCAACTTACTCTCAAACATAAATTACTAAGTCACATCTAATTAGACATGAGAGTCACTTGGTTCTTTGTCAGTTAATTATATTGAGGTTATACTTCAACAATCAATCAAAGAAATAGTGTATTTCCTTTATATCAATTTGAAATTACTATTTTGCGAGAGCGGAGATATTAAGGGCGTGTTTGTTTGGAGGGAAGTACAAGAATTGATTTTCTAGACTTTCACCCGTTTAATTCGTGGAAAATGACTAGTCAACCGAAAACACTTTTCCGATCAACGAAAACATTCACTCATATATTTAAGAAAGTGAATTCATAAATCCAACGAGGTAAAAATACTTTCTAGAATTGTTCGTATCGAATATTTTTATAATTTTTTTTTCATTGTCTTTCTCCTTCTTCAGGCAGTCACCGGCCACGACCAAGGTCGACGACCGGCCATAGGCGAACTTGAGCCTCACCATAGGCTGATGAACTGGAGCCTCACCTGTGGCCAGTAACCGACCGTCGCTAAGGCCCAGAAAATATAGCCTGACTTTTGCCACACCAAGACTTAAGAGATGGCTCCTGAACCAAGGCTAAACATATAGCCGGTCGTCAATCCTCAAGTTCCGTAGTCATGGGCAATATCGACATCACACTAGCCAATTATCACTTTCCCTTTTGCCCTTTCGGCCGGCACGCTCTTACTTCATTGCAGGTAGATCAATTTTATTTGTGACATCTTTTTTTGTTGCTTGGTCCACTGAAAATCATCGATCAATGAAATTATTGTATATAAATCTTCCCTTGACAACGTCAGAGAAAACCATGAAAGTCCATGACAAATAAAAAAAAGCACTAGTGAGGAAATTTCTAGAATTTAAAAAAAAAAAAAAAGCAGCCTGCAAAAGGCAATCCTAGCATGCGATATTACGGCATGTGTCACCTCACCTTTCAATAGGTCGATTGGTTATGGAATAAAAAAAAAAAAAGGTTCTTTGAAGAAGTTGGAGATGTTTGATGCCTTCGGTTATGAATCTGGAAAAAAATATCACGATTGTCTTTAACTTTTTTATGGCGTTCACCGCAATAACGCAATTATCTTCTCAATTACTTGAGTGTCATGTGAAAAATTGATCACTTTAGAGCCATTGGCGTTTTGTGTGGCAAAAAAAAATCTAACGTGACATTATTTTGATATAAACTATCTGACGTGACTCACCGATAAAATGAAGTCAGTAATATTATTGCTGAACAACTATGTGTGTTATTTGCCCACAAATTAATGAATTGGAGCTAAATTTGTTTTCTCCTTCAAACCCTGGAGTTGTTGGGTTCTTCAACGGAGGAAGTGGAGCAAAATTAGGTGCTGAAATTTGCGATGGAGAGCAGGAGCAAGATGAAAATCGCCAAATTAAGCACGTTCCAATCAATTGGATGAACAAGAGTATGGAGTAGAGGGTGCCACATAGTTACCAAAACGAATCGGTTGGTGTAATCGAGCTTCTTTGGTGTCGAATAGTTGTCATGGACTATGTCTCCGGCCCTCTCAAGAGAATTTTCCTTGAGTGATATTTATCTTAACTCTCTTTTGAAAAACATTCTTTTCCCTTTTAGTTCAAGGGGCATGTAATTACTTCTAATATTACAAAAAATCTCTTACTCTCATGATGATCAAGAATCCTAGAATAAAAATTTCATGTAATCTATTTCACAAGTATTTTTCCTGTGCAAATCACGAGTCTACAGCCAGTACAATGGTAATGTAATTGAAGTGGCAATGTAGCTACTGCGTCCTTTTCTTTCTTGTTTTTCCCTTGCTTTTGGATATTATATAAATGTTGCCGCCAAAAGAGACTAACCCAATTTAAACGATAAGCGATCCTTCCGTCTCTAGCACGGACTAACTAAAATAAGAACAAAATCAGCTCATATCTTTGCACTCCATTCACCAGATGATGCCTAGAAGGCAACGACTATGCACGCGTTGAGGAAGACAGCTAGAAGCGAAAAGGAACGGCCGGCTTGGGGCCAACGACTTCGCACTTTGCTAAGTCCAAGTCAATTAACCACTTTATTTATCTAACGACATCAATTATATCAATTCATAATAATTGCATCAGGATTTGGTCAGTGACCCTATTAATTAGAAAGTCTAACTCAAAAACTTAAATTGTTAAGTGGAGAGAGACCACGTAAATATAAAGAATATTAAAACCTATTATCAAACGATGTGGGAGAATATTTTATCACCCCACTCATGTGCAAGCCGGATAATGAGCGGCATGTGGCCTCCATGGCTTCAGGACCAGCGGGGAAATCCTAAAGAAGCAGGTCCTCAAGTGGCCCGACTCCGTCCTCCGCGGCGTCGACCTCGTCTTCCCTGACGGCCCTTTCCCCGCGCAGGGGAAGTCCAACGTCAAGGGCATCTTCGACCCTCCCTATTTCGAGTGGTTCCAGTTCAACAAGGTCTCCGTCCTCTGTCCTCTTTATTTCGAATCTCACGAA